TTAGTGAGAGTATCGGAGAAGATTCTAAGAAGTCCCACTGAGCTAAGCATTTCAATTTTCAAAACATCAAATACTGCCCAGTCCATGACTTTGTGAAATTTAATAGCTGCCTTTAAATGCCATCTAAGCATTTGTATTTCTTTAAAAGTTCATCTTCTGATAAATCATCATAGAAAGAGGTTTATTTTGGAACGGACACTAATAACTCTTCTTGGGTTGAAAAGCCCCCAAATATACCTGCTACTTACTTGAAAGCTGATGATCTGATCAGAATGCAAGCGATCAATACACAACAGCATCTCTCTATTCTCGCAGACAGAGTCCAGCGTCTATTAATTGTTCTCCTAGTCATTCTCTTCTTAAAATTTAATCTTCTCTCTACAGAAATTCCATATTGGTCTGGTTTTAAAAGTGTCTTTTTTAATAGCATGTTCTACCAAGTGACAGCGCTTGTAGTGCAGAAACAATCTTAAGGCCTCTAGGTTGGTCACCACTTGGTCAAGAGTAAAGCCTTTGGTCTGCAGATACTGCTGTGTAAGATTAACTTCCTCAAGTAGATCACCACAAAGGTAAAGGAAGCAGATAAACTTGAAATCACGGACAGCACGCTAAAGACCTTGTGCTGTACCTCTTGTATCTACATTTTAAAGAGGATCACATAGAGCTTCAAACGACGCCACATATTCATCAAACTTATCTTTCGCTGTTTTAACAGCAGCATGATAAGCTCTCCAACGAGCATATCTGCCCGACATTCCAATATGTTGAATTTGGATTGGTTACATGTGTGGAAAATTTATAAGTCCCTTAAAACCCATCTGTTTAGGTCCGCCTATGACCTGTGATGCACCCTCTTCGCCCTGCCTCATTTTCTGTCTCGGGTTGATCCTGTAGTATAGGCCAAATCGTGCCAAAATATATAGCCATTTTAATGTTTAAGCTACTGTTTCTATAGTCATTTTTAACATAGTTGTTACTATTCTAGTGTCTCTGGTTTTTCATTTTTATTTTACTTTAGCAATTTAAATAATGTACATCATGTTAATAATTGTGAAGCGCTTAGAACTTTAATGTAAGCGCTATATAAAAATGTCTAAATAAATAAATAAATAAGTGACCGGTTATCCTTTTATGAAAGTGGGTTATAACGAGCATTGCATGTACTGTAAATATGCAAATCCCCCCCCCCCAACCACCTGTTTTTTCATTTGCCCGACTGTCTTCAGGACCTTCACTTTCCGCAGCCCCTAACACTGATCATTGCTACTGTAAAGGGTTCAATAGAAAGCTTGTGCCAAGTGATTTCCCTCGGGCACGCGCACAACAAGAGTGAATTCAGTAATGTATGCACTCGTTGCCATAATGCACCCCCCCCCCTCCCCCAGGCACCGTTCAAACTGACCTTCCCATATTCAAAAGTTCTATTGGAAACATTGAATTCAAATTTACTTGAAAATGCACCTCTAGATTAATCGGTATCTTCGATTTCTACCCAACTTTCCGATGAAAATCGTCGCTAATTTTAATGCAGATAGATACATTCCCTGGTGGTGTTTATAGCATTAGTGCTGCCATGAAATGCGAAATCTTTTCCCGCTCCCTCTTTCTGGATACAAACTCTGCAGCTGTTCGAAAATGCCGCACCTAACTTTAAAGAAAACTAAATTGTGACACCTGGGTGGACCACACCATCCACCCCATTCTACGTCATTGGCAGAGGCGTAGCTAAAGTGTTTAGCGTCAGGGCCCAATATTCATTTTTCGCCACACTCCCACCACCAGCTCTGAAACCCAGCATTTTCAACCATTTGTTAACATCAAATAATACCCCCGCTGGTCTGTCACCAGGCGTATGTCTCATCTGCCACCCCTTCTCTGGTAGCATCATGTTCTTGTGTCATCCTGCTTGGTAGCTCCCTGTTCTTGTGGCACCCTGCTCTGATAGCACTATGTTCTTGTGGCACCCTGCTCTGATAGCACTATGTTCTTGTGGCACCCTGCTCTGGTAGCACAATGTTCTTGTGGCACCCTGCTCTGGTAGCTCCATGTTCTTGTGGCACCCTGCTCTGCCAGCTTCCTGTTCTTGTGACACCCTTGTCTGGCAGCACCATGTTCTTGTGGCACCCTGCTCTGGTAGCACCATGTTCTCGTGGCACCTTGCTCTGGTAGCACCATGTGCTTGTGGCACCCTGGTCTGGTAGCTTCATGTTCTTGTGGCACCCTGGTCTGGTAGCACCGTGTTCTCGTGTCACCCTGCTCTGGTAGCACCATGTTCTCGTGGCACCCTGGTCTGGTAGCACCATGTTCTTGTGTCACCCTGTTCATGTGGCACCCTGCTTGGTATTCACTTTAGATATGTTAAGATCAAGAGGCACGTTGCTCAAAAAGGCATCTAGCTGAAACGCCCGCTTAACTAATTTGTCTTTTCTTTTTAAGCCTAAACCTTTCGTGTTCCACTAATTATAAACTAGAACCATACACTCAAATATACTCGCTGCAAATGGAGGTGCACCATAGTTCAATGAAAGGTTGCTTCCGTCAATAGATTAAAATTGTCGCTCGTTTGATTTAAAAAAAACAAAAACTATAAATTAGAAGGACAGATCATACCAGAAGCTCTGTGTGAGAAAGATTAAGATGTGGAAAGATTTAAGAAAGAGAGCCTAACACAGGCATATTTTTGACTTGTTTCCACAAACTAATTGAAAATGTTGGGGTAATTAGTTGAAGAACAAAATATTATTCCCTTTGTATGGAGCCGGAAAGACTTCAGAGGACTCTGCTTATTTATCAGCTATGCTTGTTTAATTTAATTTTTTTTAAAATGAATATGAAGAAGAAAATAAGGATAATCTCACTATTACTATTCTGTCTTCTACTATTGTTATCAACATTATTACAGCCATCAGAGAAAATTTAGTATCATATCATATGATTATAGAGCTAAGAAGAGGCAGACATATTTTTAAAGAGCCACAACTCGCCTTGCCTCCTTAACCTAATCGGATCCCACTAATGTCCAGTAATCTTGGAACTGGTTTTTATTATTTTATAATATTCTAGTGACTGCAGTTTTTTTTACAACACTCCACCTGCCGGTCTTTAAACAACAGGCCTACAGCCAGTCCTACACCCTATCTGCCGGTCTTTGAACAATAGGCTTACAGAAAGTACTACACCCTACCTGCCAGTATTTAAAAAATTAGTCCTACAGACAGTCCCTCACCTTTCCGGTGGCTCTTTATTGATTAATATAATAATCGCCTCCGAAAAATTCAACCTTCTCTCTGGGTTCAACCCTCCCACAGGACGCTCAATGCCCTACAGCTTCCCCCCACCCCCCCCCCCCTCAGGACTATTCTTATAAAACATGTTGAGTAGGGGGAGGACCGGTTGTGAATAGGAAGCAGCCACACCAGAAGAGAAATAGATATAGGAGATGATGGTCTGCGTTCAAGCCCTATGAAGTATTATATATGAGTTGTCCACATTAATGTAATATTCTAACATAAAAATAGCATTGTGGAAAAAAAATTCATATGAAAGAATAATTTTATTTTTAAAAAAAAAACAACCTTTAACAATGATTGTAACAATAGGGATAAACAATTATAGTTGAAGGTTTTTTTTTTAAACCTTTAAAACAAAAAAAATTTATTAAACGTTAACTAAATATTGTTTTTCTCTTTTGTAACAATGAAATCATTTGTAAACCCCAACTATTGTGCAGAGTTTACAAAGATTATGCAAACATTTCTAAACTCAAAAAACCAAAGGACACTGAAGTAGAAGAAGAAGTAGTATTTACCACGTAAATCTCTGTGAACACATGTCTTGAAGAGGCCGATGGCTTTAGGAAACATTTTTTTTTTCCTTCTTCATACTTAAATTTTCCATCCATCCATCCCTGTGGCGCTACGGCACATGTAGGGCTTTGGCCTGCCTCACTACTTCCTTCCATACTTAAATTTTGCTATAGGATAAATATTTAAACATTAAAAAAAAAAAAAAAAAACAACACAATTAAAACTAAAAAAAA